CGCGGAACATCCGGAAAAGCCATGACTGACAAGTTTCGATCAATAGTTTCGTCAAGACCCTGACGGGTAAGACCATTACCCTCGACGTTGAGTCGAGCGACACCATCGACAATGTCAAGGCCAAGATCCAGGACAAGGAGGGTATCCCCCCTGACCAGCAGCGCCTGATCTTCGCTGGTAAGCAGCTTGAGGATGGCCGCACCCTGAGCGACTACAACATCCAGAAGGTACGCGAATTCTCTATCGGACGACGCTTGGGTTTCGTTTCATTATGCGCATGGGGTATTCTCGGATGATGCGGGTTGTTCGCTGGATTGCTGGACTTGGTTTCCGGATCCTCCGGCAGGGAACGTCTGCGCTAGGGGATGATTGGATTGTTACGGGGGATATATGACTATTGAGAAGGATATGTTGGGCTGACCGGACACTTGCACACATTTAGGAGTCCACTCTCCACCTCGTCCTCCGTCTGCGTGGTGGTATCATTGAGCCCTCCCTCAAGGCTCTTGCTTCCAAGTACAACTGCGAGAAGTCCATCTGCCGCAAGTGCTACGTACGTCTTTGTCCCGATCGCTCGACCCGACCTGTGAACCATTACAGGGGACGCTCGACTTGGAAGTCTTTTGCTAACCTGATCCCTGGATAGGCCCGTCTTCCTCCCCGTGCCACCAACTGCCGTAAGAAGAAGTGCGGTCACACCAACCAGCTGCGCCCCAAGAAGAAGCTCAAGTAAACGATTTCTATCTTGTTGCGGTTTTTCTGCGTTGCTGGGGGAAAGAGATGCTCGGAGATATGACGTGATTGCTGCATGGGAGGTTTTAAAAGGCGTTGGAATGATGAAACATTATAGCCGAAGTCACATATTTTAGTTGACCCCTCTCGAAAGAAGTTGCGCAATCGAACATCTGTAAAATTCAATTTTGCTCTCTCGAACCTATGCCGCGGGAAATACGAATACAAATTTGCGTTCAATAAGAACCCTTGCAGGGAAATATGAGACTGAGGTACAGAAAACTCCGGGTGAACGACGTTGTGCTGCCTGAGCCAACATCGTGCCTCCCGGATAACCATTGTAAATCGAAGACATTCGGTCCTCTCACATCAGAACATCCGTCTCTTATCATCATGGTCGTCATCATCGTGGTCCTTGTTCTTCTTGGAAACGGGGCTTGCATGCCTGCACCTCGTTAGTAAAATGATCAGTTGACCCAAAACAACCCGACTTACGCAAAGAACAATATCTTGATGGCAATCGCGAAACCGGCATGGAGAACAATGACCAAGATCAAGAGGATCTTGCTCGTCTTCGCATCCGTAGCACTCAGAACAGGATACAAGTTCCGAAGCAGGAAGAAGACCGTCCAGCCGAAGCCAACCCCCACAAGAGCCCAGTTGAGCGCAGTGAGAGGGCTCCAGCTCACCAGCGCGATAGCGATCCAAACGAGATTCGAATAGCCGTACAGCGCCCAACATTCGATCAAGTCCGCGGTGGAGCTACCGAACCAGCGCAACGCACCCCACAGAGCGATGGGGATGATGCCCGTGTACCCGTAAACCAACCCCGCAGCACCCGAAAGAAGGGTGAAGTCGTATTCGAAATGCTTGTCGTTGTTGTTCGAGAGCCATTGCGAGATCGTGCCGGTCAGGAAGAGGATGACGACTACCGTTGTTGCGATCCAGAACGGACCGTACAGGTCCGCGTTACCTTCCAGAACATCGAGGAAGTTGGTGCGTGGGTAGAGCGCCGACACACATCTCCGGAGCACCTCGTTTGTATCGACGTCGAAGAACTGCGAGTAGTAATGGATAGACCACCAGGCATGTTTGGAGGGCGTGCCGCCGGGGGATCTGTCGCGGCCGCGGGAGGTGCCTGCGCCGAGGAAAGGAGCGGAATCTTGCTGGGCTTTTGCGCTTCGGGGGTCGTTTTCAAAGTCTGTTATTGAAGTTATAACAATCAGTGCTTGAAAGGTGGAAAAGGAGAGTTGCTTGCGAATTCGCCCTACTGGATGAGTGGAATTCGAGGTCTTCCTGGAGGTCGGTATGACCGAGGTCGCCCTAGAGTAACATTAGACCAAGTGTTCGCTAAGATATGAGCATTGAAATCAATTATTTACCTCGGCGTCGACATCTACAACCACATCATATCCCCGGTTTGCCATATCGGCTTCCTGTTCTTATAATGAGCTGTTGTTGATCACGAAGGGAGAGGTGCAGGAAATTAGAGTACACATCAGCTGTCACGGCGCTGTTGATAAAGCCACACACCAGCCACTAGCTACTGTGGAGACACCTACGTATGCGAAGTTTGCTACAATATCAACACGATGCGACCTAGATAGTCTTGGGTGTAGAAATGGGCCTTAGACGAATTGATATATTGAGCAAGAATATTTTTGATTAATGGTACTATTGTACATACTCGTGCATTTTCACGGTATTGGCGCTTTTCATGTGTCACGTCTGCCGTGTCTTGTCGGCCAGTCACATCGAAATCATAGGAAGCCACTTGCGGAAAGTCGTTTTCAATCCAACGAAATATGACCACAAGGGTGTATCCAAACCTCTCTTCCGCATCCAGATAGACATCGCTCCAATGAAGATGGCCACTGCCACCGACCCGATGGTCCTCCTGTGATGCCACAAGAAGGTGATGGCCTTTTCTCTTAGTTCCTCGTTATGCAGCTGTCGTGTTTGTTTCTCGAACAGCCGTATCGCTTCGTCTCTGGTTTGCTTATTGAATGGATCCCGTGAAGTTTTGAGCACACTGTACTGAGAAATCCTCTTCCAAGCCCCGAAAGGCAAAAGCTCAGGTGGATAATCGGTGAACAGTTGCACAGCGCTCGATATGAGGCTATCCAAATCAAGAGGCTGTGGTAATTTTGAAAGAGTAAAGTGCAACATCTCAGGTTCGTCTGCAGGAATCTCCAGCAACTCCTTCTTGCGTGAGAGTATGATCGCTGCGAAGAGGTAGATAGAAACGACAGGCTCCGTAGCCAGGAGGAAGTCAAACAGCCGTGCAATGTCGCTGTACTCCTGGATATCATGGGCATACAGTGTGAGTGTTGCTGCAAGGGCAAAGAATGGTTTTATGCCTCCGAGGTGCTCCCGCAAGGCCGGATCAGCTTTCTCGATAATCGCTGGAATAAGCTGCAAATGCTTCAGCGCAGGGGAGAGAGACGGCAGCATATAGTCCCTAATTCGGAATAAGGAGATATTGGTCACAGCTTGGGCTGCCTCCTTTTCACCAAGTACCAGAAGTAGTACTTGCACGATATCATGGTACCCCTGGAAGTAACAGAGCATCGGGTATTTCCGAAGTACTTTCCTGATGAGAATGGATAATTCGTCCTTCTTCAGCAACAGTTCATCCTCAGCGCCTATAAATATGTTCAGCCAATGATAGCGAGTATTTGCAGATCCTGAGAGTTGTACATTGAGGGTAGTACACAAAGGACCGATTTACGTCCAGTTGAACCTGGTCTTCATCTCCATGCGAAGGCAGGTCATCCCAAGATGCGAAATCTGAGTCTTGCACATCTCTGTCACTTCGAAGAAAAATGGGCCCTAGATTGATGTTACCAAGGTATTAACTATCCGTTCACCAGCAACTTACAGGCTGATCGCCTGAGGTCATCGTTCAAGAGACCGCCCTCGGAGGTCGCATACGAGATGAGAGCATCTAAATCACGTAAATTGCATGCTTTTCGAATCGCTTCCTCTTTCTTGGACCGAGCGGTATCCGCATTGTCTGAATACAACAACTTCCCTGAGGGATCGTTTCTAGGTACTTCTTGTTTTTCGTCCAGGGTCCCTTCCGGCTGCGTAGTGGAAGAGTCATCCATTTTGACAAATGGATGGATCAAAGCTCGCCCCTTAACACGAGGCACAAAATCTCATCTCTTAGCGGATTGAGACAGACTTGCGGCATCAAATGCCCGCCAAGATAAGAAGAAGGGCACTGTCTGTGTTGTGTCCTGTCTGGAGGATTAAGACAGGCTGAGTATTACGCAATAAAGATGAGCCTCCTGAATTGAAAACGAAACATTGCCATAAAGCGAGGATATTTACTTTGGTAATCCCCGATCAACACCAAGCGCCCGTCTATAGGATGATGAGCAGCAGCAAGCGCATGTAAAGACAGCAATCAATGTAGGAGCCGAGTTCCTAAAGTTGATGCGCGCAGCCAGAAATGGCAAACCTGCCGGCCTCAGGCCGCCATCATCGGATGTCCCGTGATTTGATTGAACCATCCACCGCCCAAAGAAGGAAAGGGAACAATTACATTATTGCTGAGCTCTGACGAGAGGGGAACCGTGAATCTCCTATTAGAACTCCCATCTAAGGAGATATTGGCATTGGTTCTGGTCTATGCTATCACGAGTGGACTGTGGCTTAGCTGTGGAAAGAGCAGAAACGCCAGGTTCCTCCGTACAAGCCACAATAGTGGTGCAACTACAAGGAGGGGTATAGACTAAGATACTGGCCATTCTTCGGCAAATTAATACTGGCAATCGGATTGCTGCGAGTATCATCTGAGTCACCGTTGCAGTCCCTTCAAAGGCGTTCGTCAAACTCTCCCGGTCGATTTCACCGTTCTGACTGAGGGTCCAAAAGTAAAAGTGAAGGCGTTATTGCAAAAACACGTATAGTTTTGCTATACTGTAAGTGATTTTTCCCGTTGCCCCTCCTCACCTAGACGAACTCTTACTGACTTGTCGCTAGATAAAATAATCTATGCGGGCTGCTGCTTGGCGATGATTATTCTGCTCTATGACCAAAGTTATTTGCTTACTCCACAAGTTGCGGAATTGCCATACTGTGACTGCTCCAATCTCCCGTAGCGGACTCAAAATGGGACCAGGCACCGAGACTACTCTGCTTCGTGAACAAAGGCACCTACTTGACTTCTAAATTCTGTGCATGGCCTAGCTTTCCGGGAGAGTCTTCCATTCACCTCCATATTATTGCCAGCATTGTTGTCGGAGATTTTGCGAGTCACCATGTCCCTTTCATTGTCTGATCGAGGTTCTGATGCTCCTGGCAAGCGACAGGATATGGATCAAATGGATATAGAGCAAGAAGGGTCATCAACTACGAAACCCATTGTTGGGTTGCTCTCTCAGACGCTGGTCTCCAGCCCCATCATCCAATTGATTCTACCAGCGCGCTTGAGAAGCAAGCACCAAAATGATGTCGTATTTGTTGGCGAAAGGCACATACAAATCAAAGAAGCACTATCAGGCGTCCACTTGGAAGACGTCAATTCAAAATCTGACTTCGATGCCTACATCATGGCAGCGAAGGTCATCAATGTGAGCACAGAATTACCTTGGGAGGCCCAGATGAAGCTGGCAGCCAGCAAAGCAACTGTCACGGATCCTGGATCGCGGCAAGAGCTCCCACCACAAATACTGGTTCTCAGTCTTGCATCGAGAGAACTAGTCTTCCTTTATTTTTCGTCAACGAGCGGCCACTTCATTCACCATCATCGACCTTTACCAAATGATGTCAGTACATTCGAGAGGTTTGGCCGGAACATCGCGGTGGAGCCGCGGTAAGTCTTATCTCTATATTTGCAACAACCCACCTGATGGATTAAAAAGGTCCCGTGCGGTAGCAGTTAGTGCTTCGGCCGACTATTTTGGAGTGTTCATGTTGAAGAAGCCGCCAGTTCTCCAGTCACAGATGGCTTCAAGCCAATTAGATCCTATCACAGAGGTATGCGCCTCAATCCAGCGCTCGATATTCGTCCCGGACACTCACCGCAGCACCACTTCTGTAGGAACGCTTCTTTCGGGTAGAAGGCGACATCCTGTTCATGGAGTTTTTGTACCCGAAAGCCGAAGATGGTGATAAAGTCATTCTGCTGCTCTTGGTTTCACAGGATCAGGGGACGCAAGCTATCTGCTATGAATGGCATGCAGACGAGACAATACGACGAGTGTCTCCAAGGATTACAAAGAGGTCTCTGCCTCCTGAAGATACATTGCCCACGATGTTGATTCCATTGACCAAGACGTCCTCCTTTATGCTAATCACAACGACTTCAATGGCTGTCTACAAGAATAGGCTTGACCCGCGAACACAGGCCAGTCGATACCCTCTCCCTGTGCCTGATCGCGAATCTAAAAAAGCACCACTTTGGACGCGTTGGGCAAGGCCATTGCGCAATTGGTCATATAACCAAAGACACGACGATATCTACCTTTGCCGTGAGGATGGTAGGGTCTTTTATTTGGGGATCGGCAACGAAGGGGAACTGGAAAATCAAGCCCATCTGGGACAACTCTGCTGCGACGTCGATGCTGCATTTGATATCCTCGATATTGGTCATGAAGGTGGAGACCTCCTTTTGGCCGCTGGAACCACAGGAGACGGCGGCCTTTTTGTTCAAAAGGCTCGTGACCAACCTCGATGTGTCCAAAAATTCATCAACTGGTCCCCAGTTACGGATTCCGTCATTGTGAGCTCCGGCCAAGACTCATCAGCCTCAGACACAGCCAGAGACCGATTATTCGTGTGCTCCGCGTCCTCCTATGGGCGAGGTGCAATATTCGAACTTCGCCATGGCTTGGAGGCACAGATTGGCTTGGTCGTCTCCCTTGAAGAGTTGTCAAGCACGAGGGATATTTGGACAATGTCGGATGATATGAATGGAGGTGTATACATATTAATCTCCGATCCCGTCTCCTCTATTCTTCTGTATCTGTCTGCGGACTTCGGGGAAGAGATGTGTGCTATAGACGAAGCAGATTCTGGGCTGGACTTTAGTACCCAGACCTTGGCAGCCGGATGCACCAGCTCCGGCGTGCTTGTCCAAATTACTGAGAAGGCGATTCTTCTCGGTACAGCGAATGAGACCACTCTGAGGGCTCGCTTTGAGTTTGGCGCTGACCAAAGTGTTGCTGTTGCTGCCGTCCACAGCTCGGCATCATTGATTGTATCTGCTGTGCGAACAAAACATGAGATGCACCTCTCTCTCAGGAGCATTAACATTTCCCAAGACCAGCTTCACTTGTCCGAGATTGATCAGCCTTTACCATTACCCTATGAGCCTGTTTGCATTCTCGTTGAGGTTCTGGGTACTTTTACTCTCATATTTGTTGGCACAGGCAATGGGAAAGTCTTGATCTACAACTTTAGAGACTCAACCATGCTCCTGTCAGAAGTCTCCACTGAAGTGGATAATGGAGACGATCTGTCGAAAGCAATCGAAAGCCTTGCTGTGCTCGCCATTGACACCGTTGGACCTTCCCAGAAATACACAATACTCTGTGGGTTAAGAAGCGGTATTCTGGTCCCGTTTGAGATGACGTTAGACCATGGTGACAAGAAATGTGCAATTGGTATGCTAAACCTGACATTGAATCTCAGAGCTTCGCTGACAGGTGTATCTTTTTTCTAGGGGTCAAACAAGCGATTCCCCGTCGAATTGGGGATACTTCTGTCAAGATACAAAGTAGGGGACACTTCGCTTTGCTGACCTGTGGACGTGGGTTCTGGCAGGCGTCGTGTCCGCGGAAAGACGGCGTATTAGACCCTAATCTTCACATGCAGAGGATATGGGTCACCGATCAGAATAACGTAAGTCTACATTTCCGTCTTCAAATCTCACTGCTTCTCCTGACATTTTGTAGCCTGCGTATCATCCAGGCAACGTCCACAGTTTCGCCATGGCAAGAGTCATTGATCCCAACATCGATGGCGAATCCGACACCTTATTCTGCATCGCCGACGGTCAGCTTTTGATTTGCACGCTGGATCACGCTGCGAAGACAGTTCCTCGAAGGATTGATCTACCAGGAAGCGCGAGCAAGTTAGCTTATTCCAACTATCTGCGAAGCCTCATTGTCGCGTACACTCGAACTGAACTCGATACGGAATCTGATCCAATCAGAAGACTGACCCGGCCTTTCATTGAGTTCGTGGAGCCGGATACGCAACACGGGGTCTCAAAGTCCGTTGACATCTGTGAAGACGGTTATTCGGCGTGGAGACCTCATGGAGCGGCTGGAGAAAAGATCAGTTGTATCTTGGAATGGACACCTAAGAAAGGCGATGAAGAATACCACTTCATTGTTATCGGAACAGCTAGAAAACAGCAGCAAGAACGGGGACGAGTCATTTTTCTACAAGCGTCCCGCAACTCGTCCGATTCATCGAGGATTGAATGCTCCGTGAAATATATCCATAAATTTGAGAGTCCTGTTTACGCGATTGCTCCATACGGTGACTTCACATTGATGGTCTCGACGGGTCATGAGATCGTACCATTGGAGCCCAAGCTGTCACAGACACGTCGTGTTCGAGCAGCGAGGTACCCAATGCTTTCCCCAGCGATTTCCTTAAGTTGCCATGAACCCTACGTATACATGTCGACATCGAGGGAGTCGCTGATGGTGCTCAAATCCTCTGACGACAAGTTGCTGCTTCATGCTTACGATCGTCAGAAGCATGACGGACTTTCTCATATTCACATTGGGGGTGAGACTAATTTGACGATCACCAGTAGCAGAGGCGGCAGAGTCAGCATACTCTCAGAGAATGGTGTTACGGCCAACGACAAAATGATGCCAGTTGCGCTGTGTGAAGCACATCTTCCATCATCCGTGATGAAGCTCATCTCAGGATCTAAACCATCTCCATTTTCTCTCTCATCGCAAGTGTACTATGGCACCGCTATGAACGGGATAGCATATCGGTTTTTAACCCTAAAAGAGAAAGAGTGGCGCTTACTACGTCTGCTGCAGAATCTCTGTATCAGAGATCCAATACTATGCCCTTTCACACCCAAAAGGAAACGAAGACGCAACCCGGCGACGAATGGTATCGCAGAGCCCCAGCCTTCACACATGCACATCGACGGCGGCATACTGAGTCGCCTCGTGATGCGTGGTCCGGATTATTTGACAAAAATGTTGACGACCCAGGATTTTGAAGACGCAGCCTTTCCAGAAAACGGCACTGCTCAAGCCACTCTGGAGCTATTCACTGAGCTGTCCAGCAATCTGCTGGGAGAATCCCCTGACCAAGTCGAAAGGGTCATGAGATGGTTGGAGAAGGCCCTTCATGTGGAGTTCTGAATATGGCAGAGACGGCAGACGACGCATGCAGCTATGATCTTCCTTGTATTGTTGAGAGGAGGGCGCTAATCGTCTTCTTATGTATTAGTAGCAATGAACACATTCTCATGGTTCGATATAGGAAGACCATAGATAGATTCCAACATAGTACCCTTAGAAAAGAAGTTCTGTGTAGACCAAAATCGTATTAGCCTTGAATAAAGCGGACTCGAACTTTCGGAGACAAAGCGTAACTATAGGTACTCTGCTGGCTGCCATTAATAGTGGCGAGTAAGGCAGTGTCGTGCCACCAACTGGCGGCGATTCGGCTCGCATAACAGAGAGTCCCCACCAAACCAACCCAAAATTCTTATTATTTCTCCAAGAGCGCCGACCGCCGCTCTCGTCTTATCAACCACCAGAAGAGGGGGGAAAAAGTGGTTCTCTGTACCTTTCTCACCGTCTCTCTTTTTCATTTCTTTCGTTGAGGAGATTTTCAGGCCGGCCATCTTTTTCGCCGCCGCTCCTCTCGATTAGATTCTATCGGTTGCCGCGTATCGCAGCCCAAAGACTTCGATATTGTTCGTGTGCCCGCCACAGCTCGTTTACGATTATTGCAACAAATAAAATCGCCTTTAATACTAACTTCTTGAAGTATCTAGGTGATTTTCATTGATCTATCGCTTTCACTACACCGGTCGCTCCTATCATTACAACTTAGAAAATGGCGCCAAAGAAGAAGGGAAACAAAAAGCAGGATGACGACTGGGAGGCCGAGCTGGGGGAGAGTATTGCCCCCGTCAGTGAGCAGCCTAAGGAGGAGACTCCTGCGGACGCCGCTCCCGAAGAGGATGGCATGAGTGGCGGTCTTCTCGCTGCTCTGAGAAAGAACAAGAACAAGAAGGCCAAGAAGGGCAAGCCGGTCAACGATTTCGTCGAGGGCGAGGATGCGACAGAGGAGGCGAATGGAGATGCCGATTTCTCCAGCAAGCAGCCTGAGGAAGGTACATTCGACGAGGAGGACGTTTTCGCCGGAAAGAAGAGCCAGAAGCCTGCTAAGGCTACACCTGCGGCCCCCGCTGCACCTGAAGGCGATGGCGAGATCCGCGTGAAGAGTAAGAAGGAGAAGGAGAGGGAAAAGAAGGAGAGAGAGAAGCAGCGTAAGAGGGAGCAGGTATGTGATGTGTCTGGTGCACTATTGTCCCCTTGTAAGGTGTGTTAGTACGGTGCTGATGTAGGATATCTGTATAGGCCTTAAAGAAGAAGACTACTGCTCCCGAGCCCAAGGCCGAGCCTGCCAAGGCTGAGATGAAAGAAGAGGCAGCACCCGCCGCTGCTGCTCCGACACCTGCTGCCACCGCTCCTGAGGCGCCCGGCAAGAAGAAGAAGCTCCCCGCCCATCTGGCCGCTATTCAGAAGCAACAGGAGGCTCTCCGGAAACAACGTGAAGAGGAAGAGCGACGTCTAGCTGAAGAAAGGGCCGCGGAGGAGGAGAGACTGCGCCGCGAAGCAGAGGAAGAGCAGAAGAGGGAGGAAGCTCGCCAGCGGAAGAAGGAGAAGGAGAGGGAAAAGAAGGAGCAGCTCCGAAGAGAAGGAAAGCTTCTCACCAAGGCCCAGAGGGAGGCAAAGGAGCGCAATGAACTTCGCATGAAGCAGATGCTTGCAGCCGGTGTGGGTAAGGTTGCTGGTCTCGAGGAGCCGGGAGTCGAGAAGAAAAAACCCGTGTACGACAACAGGAAGCGCAAGGGCCCCAAGAAGCAAGAGGAGGACCTTGAAGCTGCTGCTGCCCGTGCTCGCGCTCAACGTGAGGCTGAGGAGGAACGGCGCAGGAAGGAGGAAGAAGAGAAGAAGGCTAAGGCCGAGGCCGAGGCTGCCGCCGCCGCCGCCGCCGCCACTGCTGCTGCTGCTGACGAGGAGAGCGAAGTGGATGACTGGGAGAAGGCTGCTGAGGCCGAAGAAGACGTGAAGGACAGCTGGGATGCTCCTTCTGAGGACGAGGAGGAAAAAGCAGCCACAAACGGCGCAGCCAAGCCCGCGGCTGCAGCCCAAAAGAAGGTGCATGAGTCCGAATCCGAGGAAGATTCAGATGAAGATTCGGAATCTGAGTCAGAAGATGAGGAGCAGTCTGCGACGCAGAAGGCTATCGCTCAAAGAAAGGCCGAAGCTGCCGAGCGGAGGAAGAAGCAGCATGAGGAAGCATTGGCCGCACGTTCGAAGGACAATCTGCGCTCTCCTATTTGCTGTATTCTTGGACACGTCGATACCGGTAAAACCAAGTTACTGGATAAGATCCGACAGACGAATGTGCAAGAGGGCGAAGCTGGTGGTATTACCCAGCAGATTGGTGCTACGTACTTCCCCGTGGACGCTTTGCGCCAGAAGACCGCTGTGGTGAACAAGGACGGCAAGTTTGAGTTCAAGATTCCCGGTTTGCTGGTCATCGATACCCCTGGTCACGAGTCTTTCTCCAACTTGCGTTCGAGAGGTTCATCCCTCTGTAATATCGCCATTCTGGTTGTCGATATCATGCACGGTCTCGAGCCTCAGACTTTGGAGTCCATGAGATTGCTTCGGGATCGCAAGACTCCTTTCATTGTCGCCCTGAACAAGATTGACCGTCTCTATGGCTGGAAGAAGATCGACAACAACGGCTTCCAGGACAGTTTAGCCATGCAGAGCAAGGGTGTCCAGAACGAATTCCGCACCCGTCTTGAGCGCACAAAGGTTCTCTTCGCCGAGCAAGGTTTCAACGCCGAGCTCTACTACGAGAACAAGTCCATGGCCCGCAATGTCTCCTTGGTTCCCACTTCCGCTCACACCGGTGAAGGTATTCCCGACATGTTGAAGCTGTTGACCACCCTGACTCAGGAGCGTATGACCAACTCGCTCATGTACCTGTCCGAAGTTGAGTGTACTGTTCTCGAGGTCAAGGTTATTGAGGGTCTTGGTACCACCATTGATGTTGTTCTTTCGAACGGTATCCTCCGCGAGGGTGATCGGATCGTGCTCTGCGGTTTAAACGGCCCTATAGCGACGAATATTCGAGCATTGCTGACACCAGCTCCGCTTAAGGAACTCCGTCTCAAGTCGCAGTATGTTCACAACAAGGAGGTCAAGGCCGCTCTTGGTGTCAAGATCGCTGCGAACGACCTCGAGCATGCCATCGCAGGTTCGCGGTTGATGGTTGTTGGACCTGATGACGACGAGGAAGATATTGAGGAAGAAGTCATGTCCGATTTGGAGAACCTGCTGAGCAAGGTTTCCCGTGACCAGCGTGGTGTCAGTGTCCAGGCTTCTACCCTTGGTTCGCTCGAGGCTCTGCTCGAGTTCCTGCGTGTCTCCAAGATCCCTGTTGCCAACATTTCCATCGGCCCTGTCTACAAGCGTGATGTGATGATGTGTGGTACCATGTTGGAAAAGGCAAAGGAGTACGCTGTCATGCTTTGCTTCGATGTCAAGGTCGACAAGGAAGCGGCTGCTTACGCAGAAGAAGTCGGTGTCAAGATCTTCACGGCCGACATTATTTACCACCTGTTTGATGACTTCACCAAGCACATGGCAGAGTTAACCGAGAAGAGAAAGGAAGAGAGCAAACTTCTCGCTGTCTTCCCTTGTGTGCTTAGGCCCGTTGCTGTTTTCAACAAGAAAGACCCCATCGTCGTTGGTCTGGATGTTATTGAAGGCAGCTTGAGAATGCACACGCCAATTTCCGCGGTGAAGACCAACCCCACTACCGGTGCTAAGGAGATCATCGACCTTGGCAGAGTGTAAGTTTACGTTGACCCTGATTTGACATTCCTATTGCTAATCAAGTTCATGCAGTGTGGGTATTGAACGTGACCACAAGCCTATCCAGGTTTGCAAGAAGGGTCAACCTTCCGTCGCTGTTAAGATCGAAGGAGCCAACCAGCCTATGTACGGCCGTCAATTGGAAGAGAAGGACACCCTCTACTCGCACATTTCCCGTGCCAGTATCGACACCCTCAAGGAGTTCTACCGTTCCGACGTATCGATGGAGGAATGGGCTCTTATCAAGAAGCTCAAGCCCGTGTTTGACATTCCTTGATTCAATTCGTCTTAAATGTGACGGTCTCCTGCTGGAAGCCCACAACCGGTACATGCTCCTGATTGCTTGAGATTATCAGGCATGGTGAGATGACAAATACGGGCACAGACGAGACCATTGTAGGCGGCATGTTTCGGGGTTGGTATTTTAAGGGAGGCTCCTTGTACCAGTGAAAATAGCTTTTGCTTCCTCAATCTGGGAGGCTTTGATTTTACCTCATCAACAGAGCGCAATGATCTCCGCAGGAAGAAAAGAAGTCAAAAAGTGCTAGACTTGGACGGCTTTTATTGCACAAAAGCGATATATGCCTGTATATGACATGAGTTTATGTGGTCTGTATCTTGTCATGTTTCTGTTATAATGATATTTCCTTTTTGAATGAATCCCGCTCAATTTATGTATCTTATACCATAATATCAATAAGTGCATAAGACATAATTTCGAAAGTAGATCGACAATCCCTCCTAGGGCCTCCATTGAGACAATATCCAGTCAATAGTCAATCACAGCTTGGTAGAGAGCTCATCAGAACCACTATATACAGTATCTTGACAGGATAACCCCAAGTACATCGACATCGCTACAGTCTACTACTACATACCAGGCCCTACTCATGTTCGGGCCCCTCCCACTTCTCCACTCTCCCACCCTTATCAGCCCAGTCCAACCAACTCCCCTCATACACACCAATTCTGTCCGGGTTATACCCCGCCTGCACCGCCAACTGCGCCGCCGTATTCGCCCTCACGCCCGCCTTGCAGTAGAAGACGATATCTCCCTCTTCCTGGATCCCAGGCTTAGGGAACCCAAAGCGGGTCTCGAACTCGTCCGGCGTCAGAAAGAGCGCATCGGGCTGCGAGGCTAGAGGGACGGCTACGGCGGTGGGGATGATGCCGGTGGAGGTGAGTTCGGCCGGCTCGCGGACGTCAACGAGGATGAGTTTCCTCTGCGGGCT